CGCTATTCTGTTCCCCTATCTCCTGACGCAGCCATTCCTCTCTCACTGCGCTTGAGATTTGGGAGTTTCCGAAGATACGGGATCCTGACATATTACCCTAAACAGTAGGATCCTTATCACAAGGACCCCAAAATAAGGCACCCCTAATTTTCGGAAACTCCCGTTAGGGGCTTAGTGCATGGCTCCTGCGGTCACAGGGGACAGGGTTTAGGGCCAACTTGCTGAGTCGGCTTACAGACGATATCTAGGAGGTGCTTCTGAAGCATATGAAAAATGTTAGTAGGTAAGCTCCTCTTAAGCCCAATAAGAGCAAATAGAAAATGTCCCAAGGCCCTACCTAGACATAGTAGCTGTTATAAACAGTTCCGTCCGTCTCCAGCTAGGGGAAGCACTGCTGAATCACCAACGGATACCACGGTATCATTCCGAGTTCGATTGCCATGGCCAGCATTAAGCCGTCCCAAGCATGTTTGTACGGGTTGTCCTGGAGGTGCTCCTGATCTGGGTTGTGAATGTATAGGAGGTTCCGCAGTGATTCTCACCACCTTCAAGAGTCATAAGCCCTCAAACAAGCCCGCGAAAGATTCAACAACACCATGACAAACAATAAAAATACACCAGCAAACCGGCTAGAATACGACACTTGAACCTCGACACTAAACCTCAAACCCCTACACTCTCGACCTTAACCGGCTAGACTAGTCTCGTGAATCCTTCCCTCACCTGCCAGTACAAGGCTTCAGTGAGGCCGATCCATTGGACGGGGCCGTGCCGTCATGGGCATGCATTCCTGGGGGGTGTTAGGGTTTCTGCAGGGTTTAGGGTACAGTATAGGGTGTAAGGCTTCAGGTTGTGCATGGCCCTTCACGTTTGAACTAGGGTTCTCGGCTAGAAAATGCTAGAGCTGTAGGCTTAGGGCTTCGAGTTTTGTAGGGCTTTGGAGCTTCAAGGCTTTAGGGTTGGCAGCTCGTGGCAGCCTATGCAGTTTGAGATTTAGACTTCGGGTGGGGGCCGAGGACTTCCTGCTTCTTAAACTTTGAACTGGAAGCTAGAAGTGCTTGCTGACGATGTGCTGAGGTTCTTGATTGCGGAGACGACATGCGAAGACGACAAGTGTTGGGCTTGATGTCTCGGGTTGGCGGTGCAGAGCAATTAGTTATTGAGGCTGATATTACATGCAATATTATAAACCTTGAGACTTGAGGAGAAGACCAGCTACAATTTGCCCCAAAAGGCTTGAAGGTTGGATATCTGGGAGAGCTAGAGAACACCGTAATAACACCCCTCCGCACTCCCCTTAGAGTGAATTGTGGCTTAGAGAAACCTGAACCCTAAACCTGTGAAACACCCCTCAACCCTCCAAGGCTAAAAGGAGGGACCCTTAATAAGGACCCCTAGGTATATACCCGTAATAAAGCCATTATATACCCAGTATATAGCCCATTATAGGGTAGGGGTCCCCATTAAGGGTCCCTCCTTTTCCCCTTTGAAGCCCTAAATCCCGAAACCTCCTTAAGCCCGAAGCTGGCTCTGTCCAGCCACCTCCTGAGATGGCCTGCAGCCAAGGCACGTCCGGCAATCAAGCCGGTCACCTGAGGGCTTAGGATTTTTGTTTGTCTTTTTTGAGGGCTTTTTGAAAAAGGGTTTAGGATTTTAGTGTCTGGGGTGTAAGGTTGTAGGAATGCTTAAGGTTTAGGGATTATGGGTTTAGGGCGTAGGATGCAAATGACCGCTGTACTCTTTTAGAAGCCTTATAAACCCGTATCAGGTCCTTAGGGATGTAAAGGCCCGCTACCCTGCCCCCCCCCCCCGCCAACCCCTTCCACCCTGAAGGGTCCTTTTGGGTTTAAAGTTGAGAGCTGGAGGGTGAGGGTTCAAGTAGTTGAAGGCTTTTCAATTGCGCGGTGTAAGCAACACCTGCCGGAAGGATCCAAAGTACCTACACAGTAGAATGTAGGGTTTCTATAGTAGGAATTCATACTATGATTTGGGAAAGTATCCCTAAACCCTAAACCCTAAACCCTAAAACCATAACAGTACATGGGACCCTCAGGGCTGGGAAGATTTGGAATGAGCTCTGGATGCGCACCGTGCAGGTGGAGAAAGCTCGATCTGTCACCAGCTTAATGCTGGTGACGTCTTATACTAGAAGCACTTACTCCGAAATCGGTGCATCCCTAAACCCTAAACCCCTAAACCCTAAATAAACAGAAAAGAACATATTCATGAAGTCAAGGCTTCGCTTCACAAGCCAACTTGATGTAGAGCCACCGCTGTTAGCACAGCCACAGCCACCACCACCACCACAACAGCGGAGAAGACTACTTCTTCTACCATGCTACCACTAGTTGCCGGTTCTACAGCGACGACAACGGCGGCGACGACGACCACTACCGCCTACGCTTGCAGCTATTGCCGGTGCCGGTTACTGCTCCTGCGAAGTAACGATACCAGTGTCAAAATGAGATACTGCCAAGCCGCCGCCGGTGAGGGTGTACGCACTCGCTGCATCGGAAGCGCCGGTGCGACCACTCGTGCCTGCAGCTGAAAGGTCGGGTTTGGGCTATTGGGTTGCTGAGCTCTAAGGTGAAATCAATGCAGAGCCCGAGCACTGAGGCCCACGAAACCGTGACTGCTTATGCAACACATGATTTTCCTGACACCGCGCAGGCAGAAGTCCTCAAAACGCCGTAAACCTCTGTAGACCTAAACCCCATAATAATAGATTACTTCCACTCTGAGGCCCTACGTACCCCCAGAGGCCCCCGTAAAACCCCCTCAACCCTTGTGGGTAACTTGCGGCCCGTCCGACGAGTCTTCCGACCCTCGACGCTGGGCAGTTCGGACTTTCGGGGGTTCGGGGTGTAGGGTTCGGGGTTATGGAATATAGGGGCCATAATAATTAGAATAAGGTTTTGGGGCCCATTATACTATAACTATCATGAGGAAGCCCCACAATAGTATAGGTAATTATCTAGGCCCCCATATTCGGCGTTTAGGGTTGGGGTTCTGCGTTGACTGTTGGCCGGGTAAGGCTCGGGACCATCGGGATGCTTTGTGAGAATACGGCCGTCTTCGGTTCGCCGTCGTTGAATCTGGGTCCTTAGCCTTACCCACCCTACCCTTACGGATCCTACAACTCTAAATCTAAAGCTGGTCATCCTCGACCCTCCATCCAGCCTCTATTGGACCCTAAATGCCCCTTATTTGGGACCAAAAACCAAATTTAGGGTACAAATGACGAGGAGAGTCCTGGATCCCCCTTATTTGGGACCATAAACCCCTATTTGAGGGTACAATTTACAAGGAGGGTCCTGGATCCCCCTTATTTGGGACCATATTTGAGGGTACAATTTATGTACAAGGAGGGTCCTGGATCCCCCTTATTTGGGACCATATACCCCTATTTCAGGGTACAGTTTGCAAGGAGGGTCCTGGATCATGGGGTCTTTTCGGCCCTGAGCCTCTTGAACCTTGGATCCAGCATTGGAGCTCCCGCCTGTCGGCCGTCCACAACGGGCGTGCCAGGACACGGAGCCCTGGTACGAAGAAGAGGTAGGACGGTTGATGATATGAATCCTGCATTACCCATAATAAGGAACATACCATAATTCCCACAGTCTAGGGTCCTTAAGGTAGTGCAGGATTTATATCATCAACAGGAGTAGTAGGACTAGGCTGGGACTGGGACTAGGAGTGGTCGTGATCGTAGCCGCTGTGCAGTATCAGTCAGTGGCAGTGGCAGCAGCAGAAGCAGCAGCAGTATCAGGTGCAGGTGCAGGAGCAGGGGCAGCAGCAGTAGGAGCAGCACAACAGCAGAGCAGCAGCAGCAACAGCAGCAAGGGCCAGAGCAGGAGTAGCAGCAGCAAAGGTGATAGGTTTGGAAGGTTGTTTGCTGGATACTCCCAGAGACTCCAATAGCCAATCTAGTTAAGGAATAGACCGTAAATTATATTAGGGAAATTAAGGGGCATACCTTAAATCATATTAGGGATCCTAATGTAACTTTACGGTATATTCCTTGCCTAAAGGATATTGGAGTCTCTGGGATACTGTCAGGACAGGTACTCTTCGCCTCGTCGTTCTTGTTTTCATCCGCGTTCCACGTCTTCAGACCGGCCGGCACACTGAGGCCCGCGCACACACAGCAAGTAGAAATCTAGATGGGGGCTTCCGAAAGTAGGGGACCTAAATAAATAGTAGGATCCTTATTATAAGGAGCCCAAAATAATGTACCCCTAAATTTCGGAAACTCCCAGATGAACCTTGATGGAAGCCAAGACCTCAAGTGGGCCCTTTGATGCAAATCATCCACCTGTGAAGCTTCGCCACGTTTAGGCAATGTGTTACAAGCACCCCAGAAGCCCTGATCCTGCGCCCCTTCTTCGCACCGCGGAGGATTGTGGGAGGCTCTCAATCGTAGTGATTGGAGGCTTCGCCTCCCCGGAGAATGTGGACTCGACTGACGGAGCGCCACATCTATGGTGTTGGGCTGGGTGTGGGGCTTTCAAGCGCCTTGTTGGGCAAGGGGGCTTCTTCGGCTTTACATCTTAGCTTCATGTTGGTTTAGGGGTTTAGGATCAGGATTTTGGGGTTTTAGGTGTTGGGTGTATGGGCTTGATTGGGGTGTTGGGGATATTAGAAGGTGCGTAGTGACGTTGCAGGCAAGACATTGCATGCCATCGGCCGTTCACAGCCAAGGTGAAAGAAGCTACACCGCGACATGGCCACAAAGAGACGAGAGTGGCGCAACATAGATATTGATGATGATGATGATGATGATGATGACAACAACAGTAATGGCGGGTGGGTTTGAGGTTCTTCAATCGCTTTCTAGATGCTGTTGCGACGTTCTCGGCTCCACCGACATGTTGCAATCGCCCACGGACCTGGATTTTGTGGCATCATGTGGGGGTTGTTCAAGATTCAGAACAACCCCCATGTACAATGTAGCGTACCACCCATGCAGGGGAGCAACGAGGAGCCCCAGTGGAACGAACTCATGCGGAGAATTCGGCGTAGTCGCTGCGCTGGTCATTCGCGCGTCTTCTTCTTCGTTTGTGAGAGCAAAACACGCCAAGTCCAAAGGCAAGGAAACCGATACCGATCGCGACTTGGGCTAAGTAGTGCCACACGACTGGCTTTGCAGACTGCGCAGCCTCTGGCTCCAGGAAGAGCTGTTGGTTCTGCATTAACGAGGCCGGCTTTTGTGATAGCACGCATGACTCTGCCGGGATGGCACCACCCCGGGAATGTTGGCACAGGAAAAACCAAGCAGTTTCCGGGCCGTCCGCGAGGCTGTTCGAGTCTGTCTCCCACAACACATCGTGCCCAGCGTCGAAGGTGCACTCAACCACGGAGGAGCTCTGCAAACAACTATAGCCATATTCTACACAGGACAGATTCTTGCTGCCTGCCCCATACCTACTTCATGGTTGGGATAGGATTAAAAAATGTACATGTTTACTATTTTTATTCCTTAATGGGTTTAAGCCTCCATAAAACTGTAAAATGTTACCCAACTATGACAAAGATGCGGTATGGGGAATCTCCGTGGCTCGGAATTCAAGCAGTGATCGTAGGCTTTGTATGCATTCACCACAGCCATTTCGTCAGCATAGTAGTAGCCATCCCACCAGTTTACGTTTGCAGCGGGAGTATGTGCAGGGATTGTGTGGTCCGTCCGGCCCTGCAACAGCATCATGGAAACGGGTTCTCCACCTGTGCGCCGTTCTGCGATTATGGCCCCTGCAGAATCGACGTTTTCTCTGTAATACAGGGGCTTTGATTAATGTTTGGATTAGGGTTTGGGCGCCCATGTTACTATGACTAGCGCAAAGAAACCCCCAAAATAGAATAGGTAATGATTAGGGCCCCCATATAAGTTGAATTCTTTCTCTGCATCAGGAACCCCTACACCGGTGAGAAGTTGTCCCCTACAGATCCTACAGCTACCTGACCAGAGAAGAACATGTTTTAACTGCGAAGTTTCCTTCCCACTGCTACTAAAGTGACTACATATCTGCTGTGATGTTGGGTATCCGTAAATTGAGCCCTTAGTCCGAACCCCTAAATTCTGACAGCTGGCCCAGAACCCTCCCCAAACACACTCTACGGCCCTGACCCTTCCTACAGTCTACAGTCTCCAATGCAGTTCCGTTTCGGGTTACCTAATATAGGCTCATAATTATAAAAGGGTTTACTTCAAACCCAGTAGAGGAACTAAAATGGAGACTACAGGTAAACCCTCAACCTTCGAGAGCCCCCCCCCAACCTGGCCCTACAACCTAAACTTGACCTAAATCCGCAAAACCCTATAAATCCTTAGTTGCTGAGTTCATAAGCCCCAAAAAGTGTACACTTTCAGTTTCATAGTGGGTAATATTATCCCAAAAAGTGTAAAGTGTATCCACTCAGCTACTAAGAATCAACCCCTAAGCCCCACCTGGTTTGAAGTTTGTCTCAAAGCCTCGGTGTGGCTTTCCGCCACAGGCGGCCGCGATGGCCACGAAGTGGTCAGGAAGGCTTTGAGCCAGCTGGTGAACCTTGCTGCCCCAATACAGAATAGGTTTAGGGTTTAGGGGTTTAGGGCTTAGGATTTCAACTTTCAGAACAATCTTACCTTAGAAGGAACTCAAACAAGAAATGTTTGGCAATTACCGGCGACCCAAGGCACCATTAGCCCTCCGTTGGAACAGCCGTATGCATAGACACGGTCCAGGTCCACGCAGTACTGCTCCCCTATCCTTGTGAGAAGAGAGCGGATGAATCCCACATCATCATAGCAGGTGGCCCAATCGCAAGTGTGGCAGCGTCCCTTCTTGATTTGGCAGCTTGAGTAACACAAGCCCGATGAAGTTCTGCTCACGTTGCAGGATTGCACGGATTGGTTGGAACTGGAGGCTCCAGCAGCGTTCCAGGAAGTCTGGCCACTCCCATCGGCAGTATCATTCATGCCTCCAGGTTGGCGCGTGGACTAGGATCCAGTGTTTATGCGCTTAGGGGTTCGCCCCTTCGGGGCACTCTCACTTCGGGAGTATGCCATATCCTAGAGCGTGAACAGTCAAGATGAGCATACCTGAATAACGCCTATGGCCCCAACCCCGCAACTTTGTAGCACTATATAATTATTTTGTTATCAAACTCTAGTCCCATAAGCCCAAGCCCGACTTGAACTGCGACTTCCATCAAGACAGATTCTCGGTGCCTAGTTGAAAGAGATACTTCCGTGTAAAAGTTTTTATGTTCTTAAATCGGCTCTTTTCTGACCGGGTACAGCTGAAGTGCTAGGGGTGCTTGCCGCAATACCAGGATGAGGTGTAGGGTTCAGGTGGGCCCGCGTCAAAACGAGCAAGTCCCGTCTACTTCAAAGGCGTCCATGCCCCAACACTGCACTCACCATGTGCTCAATCACAGCTCCTTGCCTGCGTCCCCGTTTGTCTGTCCCAATGGGTCCTATGTACCGATATAGTGGAATGTAGGGTTTCCATATTAGGAATTATTATTATGACTTAGGGAAGTATTCCCCATAACAGTACATAGGATCCTGTGCGTGTCCCTCTTCCTCTCTCTCATCCTTTCGTCTTGCGCCGCCTTCTGGGTACACTGCCAGGAAACCAGCCTGCTCTGCCAAGGGCCCAAAGCCGTAGCGGTCGTGGTACCTTGCAAAGTTCTTACGTCCAGAGCCATAATCTCGGAATTCTGTTTCGAAAACAAGAAACTTGGTAGAACCTTCCTCCGGCGCCGCAAACGACGGACGGCAAACCAAGTTTCAACAACAAAAACACATACCCCGGCGACGCGACCTCTCAGGTTAGGATACTGTTGATATCTTCTTCCCAAGAAGCTATTGCGAACATCTGCGACATGTCAAACGGGTTTCATAAGCGCGGTCTATTACACTACATGGCACCAAAGCTGACATCAAATCCTTGCAAGGGCTAGGAACGAAAGGACTCCATCATTCTGCGAAGCTTAGGTGTTAGAGTTTAGGGTAGCATGGGTTTCACTTTATAGGGCTTAGTATGGCCTCAGCAAGTTCTCAGAAAGGCTATCAAAGAGCTGATCTCCGGCAACCCTCCAAGACGAACCCGAAAACCGTTCCGAAAGTTCTACAAGCAGCAAGCTTCAGGTAAAGATCGGAAGCGTACATAAGCCATGGAGCTAGGGATGTCATGATTCTGATCCCAACTAGCAATATCTCAAACAGGGCTATGGCTCCTTTAGCGTCTGTGCCGCTTCCCTTGCAGAGGAATAGCAGCCAAGAGCTTCTTGTACTCCCGCAAGGAAACCCCAAACGCCGGGTGCCTATAGACTGTTCAACCCTCACAATTGACTCACGATGCTATATCCCCCTTAACCGTTACGCCCTTAAGCCCTACCCTCCTGAATTTTGACTAGATGCATGTAAATCCAGTGTCAAACGCTACGCGCTATCCCTCAACCTATAAACCCTACACTGCCCTACACCCTACTCCCAAAGCCTGCGTTTCTCGGACCGGCAAGCCCGAAGCCAGGCGTTTGGTTTGGACGTTTGACGTTTGGGGTTTGAGGCAGGGTTGTATAGAGCATTTGGAATGTGGAATTTAGTGGACTCGGAGTGTAAGCTTTTCAGACTCCGAGCCTGCATGGCTAGGAGCTGTCTAGGCTTATAGGGTTTGCAGCTTGCAGCCCAAAGGAAGCAACACCTTTAACACGCAAATGTAATGTCTGGCCTTGTGGCCATGTATATAAAACCTCTTTTAATCATTCAGGCCCCTGTAGCGAAGAATGAACGGGAGCGTTGTGACACAACATCTTCTGAAACGGCCAAGGTGCGCAGAAGCATGTCCACCCCAGCCGTGGAACACCAAGACAGCAGGGACTGGCTTTCCTGTGCTGCTGCTGCTGCTGCTATTGCTGTTGCGCTTAAAGCAATTCTTAGGTTGGGGTCACGTCTGGCCCTTCACTTCAATGGCCGCTGCCGTCTTGTTGGCTACTCTCGTCACTAGCAGCAGTAGCTTTGGCAGTCGCAGTGGCTAAGACTGGTCTTGCTGGGCTGTTCTTGGTTGACCAGTTGCTGCGGTCTGCCCTTCCCGCATGCGATTGTACTAACCGAACCCAACCACCGGGAAAACGGCCTTTGCGAAAACGAACGATGGTCAGGAGATGACCGTAGAACATTGGAGCTGCTGGTAGGCTACTCGATTCTGTATGCCCCTCCTCCTACTCCATACTCATACATACATGGTGCTGCGGATGCTGCTGCTGCTGCTGCTGCTGCTGCTGCTGCTGCTGCTGCTACTGCTACTGCGACTACGACCACGACTATGACCAGACTACTACGACGACGACGACGACGACTACTACTACTACTACCACTACCACTACCACCACCACTTCTTCTACTGCCACTTCTCGTAGTAATTACCTCTACTTCTAAAAATGCTACAAGTACTTTACTAGAATTACTCCTCCTCCATCGACCCTCGTAGGCGCCGAGCAGCCGACAGCCGAAGCCGGCAGATACGTCAGCACCGTCCGCTGCACCTTCGGCAGCCCGGGCTCCTCGCGGTTTGGGGTTTAATTCGTCAGGCTTTAGGGGGCTTAGGGTTTAGGGGTTTAGGGTTTAGGGGTTTAGGGTTTAGGGGTTTAGGGTTCAAGGGGCTTAGGGTTTAGGGGTTTAGGGTTTAGGGGTTTAGGGTTCAGGGGGTTTAGGGTTTAGGCTCCTCGCGAGTCAGGGCTTTAGGGGGCTTAGGGTTTGCGTTGTTCTTTTTTCTTGAGCTCCTTTTTTTAAAGCTGTTTAGGGTTGAGGGGGCTTATGTTTTTTTTGTTTTTTTGTTGAGCTCCTTTTGTTTTAAAGCTGTTTAAGGCTTAGGGGGCTTAGGGTTTAGGTTATTTGTTTCTTGAGCTCCTGTTGCTTTATAAAGCTGTTTAGGGTTCAGGGGTTTAGGGTTTAGGGGTTTATAGGGGTTCAGGGTTCAGGGTCCTGCGTAAGTCGTTCTGTTCACTTCGACGTGTTTAGTGGGCATTTTGGGGGGTCCGTTGTGAAGCCAAACATCCTCAGCAAGAGCTTACGTAGGCCGTACGAGCGCCCGGATGTCACAGTAGACTCTACGTAGGCGCCCTTGAACACTAAAAGCAGGTTTCTTCAAACCTGTCGACTTTCCTGTCCACGGCAGCCACTCTTGCTCCGATATCACACGCTTGATGGCCATGCCCTAACCCCTAGGGTCAAAATCCGACCCCTGAAGATGCAAAACCTGAGACACTGTGAGGAAGCCATATGACCGCCAATTGCAGTTTCTGTTGTCGTGCTCGGTGGCTGTGCATTTACATCAGGAAGATGAAAAACAAACCCTGGGCCGACAACCCCAAAATTGTGGGATCCGTATAGGCGACCCTGATAACAACCCTGAGTTTCTTAATCAGGTTCCTCTACTACCAGCCCCTAAGCCCTCACAAGCTCAACAAAAATCTCCTAACTTCTACATGGGTTACTATAGGGGTTCCTCTAAGGGCGAAGTCCCAAACCCTAACCACCAAACCGTAAACCCTAAACCCTGTCCCTAATATAGGGGTCTTAATAAGTTTCATAGGGTCTTGGGGCACATTATACTATACATACCCAAAGTAGTATTGATAGCTATATTTAATGATGGGAGGCCAACAGGGGGGTTTAAGATTCTTGGGGTAGGGATTCCTTAATATGGGAACCCTAATCCCTACCACACCCCCATAGGCTAAAACCCCTTTTGGCCTCCTATGATTTAAGCCCTACATACCCAAAGTAGTATTGATAGCTATATTCTTGGGGCACATTATACTATACATACCCAAAGTAGTATTGATAGCTATATTTAAGCCCTACATCACCGGCTGTAGGGTGGGGGAAGCCTTGAGCAGCAGCGGCCTGGTTGCTTGGAGGGTCTTTTGGGGACTTAGTAACTGGTTATTTTAGGGACTTATAAGTACCATAACCCCAATTAGGGTCCCGTTTAGGGTACTTATAAGTCTACTTACTACCTACTTACTAAGTCCCCCGACCCTCCAAGTACCCTGTCTCAAGAATCTGATACTGCCAGGGCAGTGTAGGGCTTACTTAAGGTAGGGTCTGGGGCTTAGCTTCTTTTGCTTCAACGTCCCTTTCCCGTCTCGCTTAGGGTGTTTAGGGTGTTTAGAGTTTAGGGCTTCAGCCAAAGCCAGACTCATCATGTTAACACTCACAGTGCGGGCTTTGCCCTGGACTTCCGGACAGCACAGTTCACCCAAGAAGGTTAGAGTCGGTTAGAGGATACCTACAGTAGAAGCCAGAAAGTCGGAACATCATTGTCCGCATGCCCATAAGGCAAAGTATAGGGGATCCCAGCACTATATATATATATATATATATATATATATATATATATTCATCCCAAACCCATGTTCCAGCTTTCTGGGATTCACATCACCCCACACCGAATTGTAGGCTCGAACAAAGTGGCCGGAGCAACAGAAGACCCAGGTTTTTTGGCACTTTAAGATAAGATTCCAAGACGGGGTACAAAGGAATACTTGCATTGCTTCTTTCCGTCATATATTACCAAGAGGGTCCATATACGGAATTAGGTCCCCAAGACCATAATGGGGATGGTCTTTAGGCACCTAACTCCATGATAGGAGTGTATAGTGGACCCTTTGGGAACCAAAGGTTAACCTTTTTGGTCATATAGGGATGATATAGGGACTAGATCACCCAAAAAAGGTTAAAGGTTACCTACTCTACTACTAGGGAAGTGTCCTCCCAGGGGATTTGCTTCGATACCAGCCGGCCAGCACCCACATCCTGCCAGCTACCCGGGCCTGCCGGCTGGATTCTGGTTACCCAAGGGTTTAGGGGTTTAGGGTTACTACATAGTAGTTCCTTTTGCGGGTTACATTATAGGATCCTACATTTTTGACCCCCCCAAAAAAGGAACTACTATGGGGCCTATGGGTAATGGGTGTAAGGCTGAGAATTTCGTGATGCGGGTGTAGCGTTGAGGGGTATAAGTAGAGGTGGAGAAAATGTCAAGGAACTCATAAGCCCTGGAAGAAACAATGATGAGGAAAGCTTGGTTATTATCATGACCATGGGTTAAGCGGAGCTTTATGCGAAGGTGATGAGGAATTAGGTTCAAACTTTGGGGTCAAGTGGCGGCGTGGAAATACTGCAGTATACAAGGAAAGCCGAAAATTATTTACCACAGACCCTCTTATGGCAACTTTAGTTCAAGCTTCTCAACAAGGAGGCGGGGATCCGGTCAAGAGTTCAGGATGTCTTTTCTCAGGAGTCGTGACCTGTATATGGGGAAACGCTCCAGTTTCGAAATCGCGCAATGCGTGCTGAGTGTCTTTGCAGTTCGCTTCAGAATTCGTTTGCAACTCTAATATGGGAGCTTCCGGTGACCCTAACATCAACCCAACACAGATCCTCAGCATAAAGACCCGGCCCCCAAAACGGACGCCCAATCTGAGAAGCCCTTTTACAGTTGAAGGCGGTAACCTGCAGGGAAGCCTCGACCAGCGACCTGTGAAATCCATCAGAAAACCCGAAGCAACTCTATTCCCCAAAGTGCTTCTGAATAGATACATATCCCCAGTGCCAAACGCAAACGCCTTACTGCCCGGGACAGTCAGGCTCACGGTCTAGGGCTAGGGTTCTCAGCCCAAGTCAGAATCGAAGGGAACCTAGTGCTTCTGATGTGCTCCGATTATGCGTTTAACACCACAGTATCATTTTCAACGTGGCTCGGCACTATTATTTTCAGCCCTTACATCCCTGTGCAAGTACTGTAATGGGGGGGCTTCCCAAATCATAATCGTCATTCCTGCTATAGAAGCCCTACATTCTACTATAGGTCCTATTAGGACCCGTTGGGCCTAAACCCCAGCCCCTAGACCCGCAAACCAAAGCTGAAACGCTGAATCCTAGATTTGCAGCGCTGAACCAAACCTGAAACCACAAGCTTTCACCAAACAGTCGACCACAAACTCCTAAAAACTGCGGAAGGCCTGTGCAGCCCTTACTTGGTCGCGGCATGTTGGAAGCAAGGGAAGCGCTTTAGATGCTTTTGTTGTTTTTGGGTGCTGGGCTTGGGTCTTAGGTTTTATGGGCTTCGAGGAACCATTGCGCTTCGGCTTTACGCGTCATCTCCTGTTGCAGATTGCAGACATGCTGTTTTGTGCAGCTGGGCTGCGGTCACAAAGGACTCGTGATGCGAGGGTATGGGATGGGGTTCTGGGTCGATGGGACTTTCGAAAGGTATGATATACGGGCCTGAGTAGACAGACTAGGATTCTGGTGTATATTATTACTATGACTATAGTTCTGGTATATATTACTATGACTACAGTCAGGAGTCCAAGGAACAAAACTAACTTATCTTCTCAGCCGCTCCGTAAGCCAGCCACGATCGAAAAGGAACTACCAACACGCCAACCCATGCAATTCCTACCGGTTTAGAGCTTCGGGTTCAGGTGACGGTAAAACCCTAAACTCTCAATCCTTATGCCTAATCCACGGGAAAAACCTGATGCATGCATCCCCAAGGACGACACTGCTCGTTGAGGATATAGAATATGGATATGGAATTTGAGAGGCTTAGTTGTCGTGCAGATTAGGGCTAGGTTTTGGGTTGAGGCTTAGGATTCAACCCTGAACCCTAAACCCTCAACCCGAGACCACACGGCCTAGAATCATATATCACTGGTTCGTCTGCGGGCCTCTGCTCCATAGTAGTTCCGTTTTGGGGTTCATATTTAGAATCCTAAACAAAAAACTGTCAGCCTTCTAAACCCGACACCGTCAGCCTTAGAGGGTCCAAGTATGCTCCGAGCTCTGGGGGCCTCTGCTCCATGGTCCGAGACATCACCGGCCCGGTCATTGACACGGGCCTCGACAGACCTCCAGGGTTTAGAGACTTCAGGGTTCAGGGTTTTAGGGTTTAGAGGGTTTAGGGTTTGGGGGTTTAGGGTTTCGAGGATTTATCGGATTCAGAGCTCTAGGGTTATACAGAGATATAGAGCTTAGTTGATTGCTGTAGTTGGTTGCTGATTTGTTGGAGGTTGTTTCGAAGTTTGTTGATCAGACGGACTACTCAACTACCAGCACCATCATCCTCGTCCCGGTCATCAGCGTAGCTTCATCGTCATCTTCTTCTTCATTACCACCACCACCACCACCACCACCACCGCCAGTGTCACGCTCATCTTCACATGCCATCACTAGAAACCATCTCAAACCCGAAACTCTCAACGGCCAAAGCCTGTGAGCAACCTTATCCCTTAGGGGTCCTTATTTAGCTATAATGTATCAACGATATAACATACCCCAACACCCTACTGATGACTTCAACTGACCACTGCACCATCCAAAAAACCCTAAACCCTAATAACCCTCAACCCTAAACACGCCTGGCTGAGCTGCTCCATTCGGCGGCAAGGAGGTGCGGGGACGAGGCGCCTGAATATTTTAGGGTTTAGGGTTTAAACCCTATAAACCCTGGCCCAGAAAGGTTGGCCTGTTGAATTATAGTAGGATTGTATCAGCCCGAAAAGGTTTTATCAAAGTCACCTACTCAGCCCCTACGCGCAGGGCACCAAGCTCAGGAAGGCCGGTAAGCGAAAGACTGCATCGCAGCTAGTCTAGGGTTGTGAGGCTTTCTGGAAAGCTCAAGCAAGTTAGGTCTGCGCTGGGGGTATGTGACATACGTGAGTTTGCATGAAAGCATGTACGTATGACTGACTTCAAGTCGACCAGCTCAAGAGTCACATTACACTTGAAAGTCCGCCTGAATATGTCATGCATGCATGCATGCATGTATTACGTATGTGCATGTACATATACGTTGTGAATACAGTACCGCTGAACATTCATGTGTATCTAAGGTTCATGCATGGATGGATGGATGGATGGATGCCTCCATGCTCGAGCACGTATTGGTTGCTTGAGTGGCAGCTTGCTGGCTTCAACTCAGACTTCCAAAAAGGATCTACGGAAAGGAACCGGAAGACGAAGCTACTGTTCGCTAATTCCCTTAAGGGACTACTTTAAGGCCAGAGTATTTTATACAATTTGGGTCCATGGGGGCAGTAGACTCAGAGCCCGTCCTGCGGCCCCGTGGGCGGTGGAGGCGATGCGGAAGCCTATCACAGAACTCGTGCTTCATCCAGGGGATGGGGAACCCGAGCCCAGAAACTATAGTATAGGGGTTTTGATGATTGGAGTAGGATTTTGGGATATATTATACTATAACTATCATAAGGAACCCCAAGTAAAATAGTACAGGTGATTATTAAGGCCAAAATAGTACCCCCAAAAATGAAGCCTTAATGACTTGGGGTTTGGGGTCTATCATGTGCTTTATAAAATTTGACCCCTGAGGGAATAAGCTTGGCCTGGTAATGAACCAGGCTTCTCCACTACACTCTACACCATGAACTCAAATGAATGAGCCATAAGCCCGTGGAATGAGTGAGGCTCTATATACGTAAACCAGTTATACGAGTACAACTGTAAAACTAAAGCCTACTCGGTCCATGCAACACCGGGCTGAGGTTGATTCAAGATTTCGGTTTAGGCTGTGGGGTTGACTGCTAGGGTTTAGGGTTTAAGCTTTAGGATTTAGGGTTAGGATTTCAGGTTTAGGATTTAGGGTTTAAGTTCAGGGTGTTGGCACGGTTTAGGCTTGCGGCTTGATGCGAAAGCGTGCCCACTACCAACACAGCCCAAAAGCACGGCGCACAAGTGCCTCCGTAGGAGCTTAATCACTGGATTATGGATGCTATATGGTTCATACAGGGCAATATAGGGTGTAAGGAACAGTATTTAACCCATTGTATGACTCTGTAGGCGACTGCGTGAGAAACCCGCATATGACTACCTTGAAGACAACTGCTAAGCTCTAAATACCCTAAACTAACCTACCCAAAGACTCTAGTATTCCTCAATAATGGAATATACTATGAATCATCGTGGGATCCCTAACCCTAAGCATCCGAAGACCTCAAATGTGACCATGTTTGCTAAGACCTCAGAATCCAAGGCCTTTAGTGTAAGTGCTGGAAATACAAGGACTTGGACAATCATGTAAGTTGAATGAAATGCATGTCAATATATATGATGTATAAAATGTATTCAATCCAGGAAATGCATGTCATTCCCTGTATTTCTCAATATTCATATGTTGATATACAGGTCAAACAATCAGTATATATGGTCCAAAAAATGTGTTAATAGGTTTGTTTGTTCTTTCCGAAATGCTTTAAAAATTATTCATATCCGATGCAGATTCGCTGAAAAGATCAGAAAGATCAGTAAATAAGTATGTAAAATGAATCAGTCGTAGAATACGTTTGCAAGTTCTTTCCCAAATGCTTTGAAGATTATTCATATCCGATGCAGATTCGCTGAAAGGATCAGAAAAATCAATCAATAAGTATGTAAAAAAATCAGTCCTAGAATAAGTTTCAAGGTTATTTCCCAAATGCTTTGGAAATTATTCATATCCGAAGCAATATATATATATATATATATATAAACGTCCAGCATTCTTTCGAACTTCTTTTCCTGGCTTTGCAAACCCGAAGGTAGGCCTTAGGCCGTGGGCACGGGTTTTATTCCCGGTGGGTGCCCCACAAATTCTGGTGAAGAAGACTTTGGCCAGCTCAAACCTCCACCTCAGGGAGAGTACAGTGTTCAGGTTCAGGGCTCAGGGTTTAGGACTGAAGGGTTCAGGCCATATATATATATATATATATATTTATTTAGAGAGAGAGAGAGAGAGAGAGAGAGAGAGAGAGAGAGAAATAAGCTGTAGGGTTGCCGGGCCTGGGTCTGGTTCACGAGTGGCATGTCTTGGATGAGCCGATCCAGTTGAGACATGCTGGGCTCCGCCATTCTCTTGATGTCGTCATCTTGGATAAGGCTCCGAGGGAAATATATGTATATATCTATATATACATAAATTAATTCAGCTAAAGGCGAAAGCTCCTGCTATGTACATATATAGATAGGCTTCACAAGAACCATTATTATTATAATTATAATCAGTTCATATGGCATATGTATTTACATATTTATATATCTGTCTGTTTCTTATATATTTATTATATATATATATATAATATGCAGCCTAGCGACAGAGGTATGGGACCATATTCCCGAAGCACAACAGCAGCTCGTCGAGGGCCATGACGATGTCGCATAGCTTGTGCTCCAGTGCATAACCCATAGCGGATTCGATGAAGCGGTCGCATGTCCTCAGATGCCGAGAAACAAAAATCTTGTCATCTTAAGCTCCACCCGCAAGAAATACAAAACGGAGAATATGTCAGAAAGTTGAATAGTTATTGATAAAGGTTTGATTTCACGTGACAAGGTCACAAACAACATATATATATATATATATATATTTATGTATAATATGTATAATTAATAATAATAATACTATATATATATGTATAAATATAAATATATATATTTATTTATTTATATTTATTTATTTATATATTCTATATATATATATATATTGATATTAATGTATATAAAAAGAATCATATATTATACTCATATATCTATATATATTATATGAGTGCTTGGCCAGATTCTCTGGGTTCGACATGCCCGTGAGGGCTACCACCGTTGGGCAAGTCACTCTCGTCAGGAAGCGATTCACCCACTTGCCGTGAGGCGTATAGTTGCCCATGGCAAGCCAATGCAACCGGTCCTTCTCTGCAATTGGCAGTCCGTGTACCAACACTGTCATCCTGTCCCAGCCATGCCGTTCCAGGTCGTTGACCGCCTTTGCAGCTCTCGATCCCCAGCCGAGCAGCTCCATCTTCACCATCCATGTTGGCCCTGCCATGCCGAGAGGTAAGAGTGGGAAAAACCTCAAGGCACCAAAATTTAACTGCTTGAGCATCATATATTTGCATGTAAGCTTCGCTCAGACTGGCAGGCATGTGACACTTCAGTCCTGCTGCAGCCCCCCGTGAGTGAACTGACTGCATCCGAGGGGTTTGGGGTTTAGGCTTTAGGAT